CAGGATCCAAGCCCACGCACACAAAAACAAAATTCCAAAACTTTTTTAAAAAGATTTTTTTATAGTGTTACACCTTATAGGTAACCAGAATCTAGGCCTGACTTCAATTACGCTTTTCGCTTCGTTGTCATTTTAGCACCACCTGGCCACACATTCGCCTGTCTGGGGTGCTTTTATATTCCCGTGTAGGGTAGTGAAGTAACCAAGTGAATTCATTTGTCTGCATGAAAAATAACAACTGAAAGCTTCTCTTACCGTTATAGTTGTTCTTATTTATGAAGGTAAGCAATCTAGACTCAAGCACCCCTGCATTTCACTTTTATTTCTTAACTGCCTAGTCTGCGTTTGACTTATGCTAATGCTGTGAAAGGGTTGGATAAGCCACGCAAAATGAAGTTATGAGGAGCAAAGCCAGAGGGAACCGAGGGTGCGGAAATATTATCCTAAAGTGAAATCATTCTCACGAACGTGAGGTACAGGTTTTGAGTTGCTTATATTTCATAGTTGCCGATCAGTTACTATTGGCTTCTTAGCCCTTCTTTTGTGATTTTCTAAAGATTTTACTTTCATTCCAGGCAAATATTCCCTTGGAATGCGAATAACATAAAGAAATTCACTTTCTCTAGGGAAAAGAAAGAATGAAAAGGTTATAAGATTACTTATAAAAGGGTCCTAGTCTTAAAAAGACACTATAATCATTGTAAGTAAGTGCCTTAGCGGAACCCCTTCTGTGAATTAGTCGGGACAGTTCCAGTAGCTCTGTTTGTGCTTAAGGATGAGTTTAAATACAGTACCCTATAACATGTCATTCCATCAATTCCAGGTACCTTTCTGATTCTCGTTTCCCTTCACTAAACGTCGAACCCTATCCAATGACCATAGTGAATTCAAATTATGCAACGGTTTTCATCAAAGGGGTGGAATCTTGCATCTTCTAGAGCGAAGTGAAGCGACTTGCTTGGGGAGCACAATTAAAATAGCATGCGATTCCACGGCGAACGTTTTTCGTATGCTGATGTGACGCGTAATCATCACATCACCTTTGCGCCTTCCTTTTGATTAGGTTGATTGATGGTTTCAATGCACCGCTGTTAAGAGGGAGTTGAGGCCAAATTATTGGTGCTTATTCCATTGCGTCAATGCTTCCATGATAATTGTGCTCCTAGCCTTCCAGCCCTTTAGAAATAAATGAGGCGTTATGGGGGCTAGGTCATGTCTAAATTCAGCTCCAGTATCATTTATGGGGCCAGTTGCTTAAGGCTAACAGGTGAACTAATTTGTAGGTGGACTAGATAATGCGGTATACGCAAAAGCGATGGAGCATTGCATAAATAAGTGGTTAAATTCCTGACTTCTCATAATACTGATTCATTTTTTCGGTTGAAGTAGTCGGAATTTTAAAGGAACCATATATCCCCTCCTTGTTGTTGGTAATTAGCGAATATTGGAATAACGAGTTTCCAGTAATGCAATTCACCAAGGTGATGGAGAGGAATGGATACCGAGCCTTGCCTCCGTAAAGCCAACTTAACTGGTCTTGCTTTTGGGAAACCCTTCCTCCAAGCAACAGTTGACATGATTTATGCTAACCGCGAAAAATCGGTGAACCTCGAGCAGCACCAGGGCAGCAAAATCCCTCAATGCCAGATACCCAAAGGACGTAACCCAATCTACTGAAGCCTACGAGATGGACAGCTAACATTGAAGTCACATGCCTCCCCGCTTTCATGAAAAAATCAGCCTGTAAGGTTTGCTCCTGTTCCACTTTTTTAGAACACCAGACCACATTGAGTTTGGCGACGCAGAAGGGTGCGTTTATACACCCTGGAATCTTCTGTCCTCGAGGCTTCAGTCACGGTCTTAATAACATGGAGATCAGTAAATAACACATCAACTTGTCTGAGCACCTGCATACCATTATATTCAAACCACTACATTATGTTATAGTGAATTAAGGTTTGCTTTTAATGGGCGTCTGAATATAATGAGCATGCAGACACTCACTACATTTGGCAAATCCTCAACTTCGGGTTTTACTCATTAACCACTGATGGAACAAAATGAAGTCTTAAATGGCTTATAACTGATTTGGAATATAAGTCTACTGTATTTTTTCTCAAAACGATTTATACCACAATCTAAGATCATGATATTCGGCTTCCTTTTGTCACTTAGTGGTACGCTCCTGTAGAAACCGAGTGACAATCAGAACACTTGCTGTAGCTTTAACCTGTCCTGACCTCAGCTCCAAAACCACTCATTGGTAGGAATTTTTCAAAAAAAGGCGAAATGTAGAACTACAGTTGATTGATTGGATTCCAGTCGATGGTGTAGTATATGAGCATTTCTTCTGACTGCATCAAACCACGTGAGTACTTTAGTCTGCAGCATGATCTTCGGGTCACTCTAAAAGTCTTCCAGCTCATTTGTGGGTTGGTAATGTATGTTCTTCCGCAGTACTTTCGTTTGTTATAACTTCAGATAAGAATCGAGGCGCCGCGGCAAAGGAATCTTACATCAGAAACCAAATTCACATCTTGTCTAATTATCTTCCGTAAGTTTCTAAAACCCGCATAGAGCATACCTCAAGTAAGGACATTTATTTAAAAAAATCTTGCGCACATACTGATTGGTGAGTACTAGTGGATGGTAGATAAACCATCACTTGCTATTGGTGTAATGATACCACAGAAACATGCAATTTTTTTATGCAAGGGGGATTTCTAAGTGACATCCGAACATAGATGGGAATATATTTCTCCATCAGTTCATAACGAGGTTGTGATGTTAAATCCTATTAGCAAGGAACCAAAACGTTAGGCAACTTGGAAATCAGTTTAAATTTCGCTAAATTGTGTTACATTCCGGAATAATTCCTGGAACAAGAATTATGCCATCACCTAGGGACAGCATATATGGCGTTTTACCACTCAGAAGATCACTATAACTAGTTAGTAGTACAACTGAAACAAAATAGGCTAAGTTATAAATCCTTTAGGAAAGTTTTAACTAACCTTGAGAGTCCAACTTTTCCTGTTCTCATCGTAGCCCAAAATTCAAATCCAGTAGGTGTAAGGTACGCATTTTAATAGGGTGGGTATGTGAGACATTCGTTGGTTATTTGCCCCGTGTGATTGTCTAAAAATACTTGCCTGATCGTCAAAATTCCGAAGTCTTTCGTCATGTTACAAAGTTCATCTCTACTGAGAATTCCTGGTCAGCTGGAGGTGTATCTATTCCTCTTTGTTTTCGTAAATTCTGTGATATCTGCACTTGATAATAGGGAGGCAAATTGTTTTTAAGGCTATTTTACATAATATTAGGAAATGATAACCACCTTTTGGTCTTTGTATTACACTAGTCTACTGCTGAGAATTTTAAGGTCTCTTTTATGCTCCATACTTCATTGCTGTCAATCGAATGTTGGTGCGCTTGGTTGAAAATATCATCAAAAGTTGATATTATCTATCCTGCATTTTTATTCCAACTAATTTTGAATTGGAATAAATTGTTCCTTGCCTATCCTTTTCCAACGCACTACCAGTTTAACTAGGTTTCGAATTGATGCCTAAATAAAAGCCTTGGGTCCATCTGCTTTTTGTCTTAATGAATCTCTTTGCATCCGTGGCACCAGTATGCTAGTACGCAGTAGTTTTGATTACTTGAATCTGTTCTACTCATTTGCGTGCTGTGATAGTAATTGTGAAATCTCCTCACTTACACTAGTTTGTATGTGTGATGCAAGCCTAATTTGACTCGTTTTATTCACCCGCCTGGTAGACACTCTGAATGCCATTGAATGCCGACTGAGAAGAAGCCCTCCACCTTTTCCTTCCCTGAAGAGAAGGCGGAGGTTGAGGGTGGTGGGAAGACAGCGGTAACCAGGTTCACAAATTCCGTCCTTTCAGCATCACTGCCACCATCAGCTCCTCCCCGAAAGCGCGTCCAATTTCCTGAAGACGAGACTCAGCTGGCTACCACCCTTCCCACTGGCAACGAGGCCTGGCGTGTTGGTTAGTTCGATAGGCATCTGCTCTAATTCCGCGTATCTAGATCTCGAGACCCCGAATCACGTCATCGTGGACGCCTACGCGGAGGCCTGTCTTCGGTTAGATCTCCGCCCTCTCTCCTGCGTCATCGAACAGCTCTCGGTGAGTGTGTGGGCTTTTAGGTGTGATCAAACTTTGTCGGACATGGGACTGAATTTATATCGTTGTTATGCTTCGCTCTGTTGAATAAAATTTACTGGGGTTTCCTTTACACCACCAGGGTAACTCCTTTAAGATTCCTATTGAATTATTCTTTGGCCCGCACTGGCCGGAAAGTACCCGAGATGAGTTGGTTCACCTAGTTCTATTTCATGTACAAATAAAAATCGGCTATGGAGGCAAGTGAGATAGTTGCCACAGTTAAGTTCTGATGTTCCGCTACTGGTACTTATTAATAAATTTAGGTATTTGGAAAGTCACCACTCTCGTCTATTCTCGACTCTTTTCAGTAAAGGTAACAAGAGGCAGCTAGATTGCAAGACTAAGTTGTGATGCAAGACCACTTATTGATCAAGAGCAGATATTTAGATTGGCGCCGATTTCCGGCCTGCTTGATTCAATTATTTCTTATTCTTTTTGATTCAGGTTGTAGTAGACAGGTTGACTGTAGGGTTAGTCTAAATAGTCATCAGTTCTGTTATGATGGGTAGTTCCCGTTATTTGTTTATCAAGGGTAAATGTTAGGAAGGTTGCTATTCTTTTGATTGCTTTATTGACCGGATTATGAAATCCATTTGATAATTGCCGAAATGAGGTGTATTGAAAATCTGGCAAATAGGTAGTGACTAGAGCTGAGTTATGATGTACGGTTCCCGGTGCTTATTGCTCTCTCAACTGGTGTTTTACTAGAAAGTGTCCGCTCCCCTCGCAAAGACCAAAATTCCCGCCATCATTCTCAAGGGCACCCAACTCGCTAAGAAGGATTTGGAAGCACTGGAATGTATTTTCAAGTACTGCCAGGCGTATCATTTGAGCTTTGAGAACACTGGTCTCAACAATGAGGTGAGAGAATGAGTATATAATCTTACTCATTGATACTACCACTAACTTTCTGTGTCGCCCCTTGAATTCGTTGTAAGGAACACAAATCTCGAGCTAAGCTTATTAGCGTATATTTTTTTGCTCTTTTCCTCGTCTTGGTACAAAGCCAGTCCTTCTGTTGAGTCTCTGTGAATTCGGCTATCCACGGTAGATGCTTTTCTTTTGGCAAATCATCTGTATACAAGCCTTCCCCGAAGCATCAGTGAACGTAATGGTACTTTTCACAAAGAGTAAACGATCTCGGTTATATCTCACCTCGCCGGTACTAATTGTACACTTCAAGGAGCTTTATTATTGGACCACGGAATCATGCCGTTCTGCATCGCAGCTCTCCGTAATAGTTGTTCGATGGTGATAATCGTGCGACAGTTTTCCATCATGGGAAAAAGCCTTTTGCATCTTGTAGATTTAAATGGTTTTAATATGTTGACAAATTGAATTGAAGAGATCTAGTCCCAAGAAGCTGTTTCTCGCGTTCGATCGCCGAAGTTAGAATATTCTATTCTTATATTTAAAGCCTAAAAATGCAATTTTCCTCGGACTAGGAGTATCATACATTCATTCGTTTGTTTTGAACCCAGCCAGTTTGCTTGTGATACGACAAAGAACACGTCATATGTGTGACATCGGTAGCAAACGTATTAAATCCTCTCACTGGTAAAAAACATTTCGTCAGGATCCAGTTTCACTTGTTTCGGCCATTATTAATTGTAATACAAAATCCAGCGCAGTTTTAATAGCTCTTCCGTGGGGTCTAACATTCAACAATCCACGAAAGATGCCTTAATTCTGTGCCATTTCGATGTAGTCACCCAGTCAGCAAGACTGGGATTATTTTTATTTTTCCGCTGTGAATTCGTCAACACTCCTACTGGCGCAACGCTTGAATGACTTTTGTGACTGTAATAGAGTCCCTCACACTGAATGCAGCTTGACTGTCGGTGTGTAGGGAAGGGCTTGGAGACTGTTTTAAAAAATTACTTCTTATTACCACGTGACCAGAAAGTTTCGTGCGGTTTTAGACACCTCGATACAATGACTCGTTGTAACTTATAGGCACTTCTAAAATTCATTTAATGGCTTGTATGGATGCATTATAAGGTGGAGTTATCCGTCAGTCTCTCGGTATGGTACTCGTTATTGTGCTCTGTTATTTTTCAACTTTTATAATAAAATGTCAGTTGAACCTGGTGGATGTGATTTGAACTTGTCTGCTGCTCTACGTACCGAGTTTCATTGGCTTACAAAGCCGTAGGAGCTAGTTACTCCTACAACTTGTTGCCAAACCTTTAAAGAAGGCGCGGTATGCGGTAGTGGAACAACGTGCTGCTCAAAAATCAAATGTTTTAATAAGTATTTTGACTCGGGTGATGAACCACTCAAAGGTAGATGGAGCAAGCTAAGAAGAGAGAACCATTTAGTTTTAACGTGGATGAAGAATGACATCATGAGAAAAAGTTATTGTCGATTAGTTTGCCTAGAGCAAATTTTACCTGTGTTTAATTTGAGGGATGATAAAACAATCTGTTTTAACCCACATCAACTGGGAGCGGAAAGTTATGGAAATTGCTAAGTAAATGGGTCTTATATAAGTTTGTAGATTCTAAAGAAACACCTAGTCTCCACTTCTTGTACATTATAAAAAGATTCTATCTGGAGTGTTTGATGAATGATTGAGTATATTGTCACGTCAAGCGAAAGAACATATCTTTTTTATCTCAAAACGTCTATCTTATCATTTGCCGTGCACTTTTAAGGCGTAGTTTCACTCCCACAAATCTATGCTTACTTTTTGTGCCGAAGTTCAAAGGGTAATTACCGCTGGGAATTGTTTATCTGATACTACTCAGAAGGACTGGAAGGCGTCCACGATAAACAGCCAAGATTAGTGAACCAGTGAAAAACGTCCAAAACTTACTGTATGAAGCTTTTGACTCTAGGATAGAATGAAAGGAGGGGCACTGCTTCATCTACACCCTCCATACTCCTGAGATGTCTTCCGTCGTAATAATTTTCACCGTGGCATTAGATAATCAAATAATCACGGGAAATGGAGGTGAAATGAAAACGGGCTACCTGGGGTTGGATCGTTTGCTTGTAGGGACAAAACTTTCTATGCACATGGAATTTGCTGCAAGCTTACCTTCCATTGGGAAAGCATCAAGGAATTCGGATTACTTCAAGCAATGTAAAAAACTCATTCAAATAATCTTTCCGTGATTATTTGATTTTGGCATAAAGCAGATGAACTTTTATGTTTACCATTTACAGTAGGTAACCCCCAACCAGTTGTAATGATTGACTTTTTCTACCTGACTCTTAAGTGTAGATACAACTTTTTCATAGACTTTTTATAGAAGGATTGAGAGATTAGTGGAACACTTGGACTGAACAGTCCTGATACATGGAGGCTGCAGATTCCTTGAGTTGGGTCCAACTGCTTCAATTATTACGTCATTTAATCACATTTCGAAAATTCTGCGATCCACTTTATCAACCGGTTTCGCTGTGTGTGTGCGTTTCAGCTCTGGACTTAATCAGAAACCAATGTCTTCAAGATTTTGAGTCTTCTGACATCTTGAAAGCTCATTGGTAAATTCTGCCTGTTGTATTACAGTCCTTGTCCTGCCTCCTTGAGGCGTTGGATTACTACGTGCCATGCAGTGAACTCTGTCTTGCACGAAACAGGGGCATCACTGAAGGGGGCTTTGAACACATCGCTAATTTTATCTCCAAAGTGAGTTGTCTGTTCTTTTCTTTATTTTTGTTGTCTCTTACCTTACGTCCTGCCGTTTGGAGTAAACGCACAGAAGAATCACCAAAATCACCGCCTGGTCTAGTTAAGAAGCATTAGGCTGATGTATTCTATCTCCTTTCACGATATTACTCTTTCCTGTACGCCCTTTGATCAAAATGCTTTTAAAACAGTATAAACTCATTCAATTACTGATATGATTAAGAAATACCGAGATTAAGTAGTTTCGATGCAAATTGTGCAAAATTTATCAAATTTTAGCATTAACAAATGTACAGAAAATGGAGTAATGTTGCTCACTAGTTAAAAACATTATTATAAAGTATTCTATTTCCTATTTCAATTGGGCAGAAATTCTTTTCTAATTAAAAAATGATCCCCATATTTTTGTTGGGGCTAGAAATTATCAGAAATATCAAATTGTATTTCGATTTTCTGGGAGGTCGTTTAAAAGCATTCTATTTATGTCAAAATGTATGGGATATCAATTTTCGTGTGCTTTATGTAAATATTCATGAGCAGTGGCGATGAAACGAGTGATCGAACCAATTAAAACAATAAGGAAGTGCATTATGTGATTGTTACAAAAGGTTTACATCAGGTCTCCTGTCCATCAACATATACTTGTGATTGTGCCATTTGGTTCTTTATTTGCTCCTTTTTTCACATATGGAAATGAAGATGGGGTAGTTAGGACTAGAAGTTTCGTCTCATCCTGTTTCTGTGTATTAATCTCCTAATCCACCAAAGAAGTTTTTTGCTGTTCATCTTGAACAGATCTAAGAGTGGAGCAGTGCTGTACACAATCTGAATTTATGCTTTGCTCAAGTGACATTCCATCTTCTAATCCTAGGAATGTCAACAAATGCCTTAGCAATTTAGGTCTGAATTTAGTCTCTTATTCACATTTCAACCACACCAGGATTAATTAAATAGAAGACATTATCTATTTTCCATCTTTGTATGAATTTTCGAACCTAATTGAAACTTTGAATGGTGCTCTTGAAGTTTGAATTTCCAAATTTATGATGCTCTTATAAAATGCGCTTATTTCACTGGCTCAGAAAGTATTTAGAAGGTTTTGGTAGATAAGGCCTATTTATTTATCTATCTGTATTATGTATTTTGCCCTAATTGGGATAAAAAGCACCAAAAATTATTACAGAGGATAAGGCGTTTGTCGGTGAATGTCAGTTTCATTTTCTCAAAACATCTTTAAACGCAATTTTTTTGCATAATCGCTGCTGGACAAATAAGAATTCTATGTATTTAAGGTGGAGAAGCTCGGAGGCCATCTAAAAACTGGAAAAATGACGACATGTTTCACGCAAGTGTAATTTATTTCGGTTCATGTTTCTTCAGTGTTGTAATTTGCTGTGTAATTTGAACACCAGGTGCTGCATTGTGCGCCTGCATGCATTGAGGCGATATTGGTACACCTGCATTTATGAAACAAGTCGTACGTTAGGACCTGGACTAATAATTTTCTTCGAAATCGCATCCTACAGTAACAGGTATCTTCCATGCATCCCTCATTTCTAGGTCTACAACTTCACTCCTCTCGGATCAGCTGATCCTTACATCCATTCTTTCGGCAATCGGTCATCAATTTAAGTGGAACTAGGCGGTTACTGATCTACTCGTTTCGTATTCACCTGTTTATTCTAGATCTATTTAGTTCTTGTTTATTCACTCACCCGGAACACCATCCGTCTGTCCACTTCATCCAGATCTATCCCATATCCATCCATCCATCCATCCATCCATCTATTCTTGCGGGCTACATCTACTGACCAGATACTGCAGCAGG